CGTGCATAAATTCGATCGTGTGTCGGCTCTGGAAAGCTACGTAGCGAATAATTTTGCCCCGGTCCATTGCCGATCGCGAACACGTAGACGAACGCGCGTGATGAAAAATGTTTTGTTATTGTCGCGAATCGATCGTTCTTGGCGCCATACGTTTGTTCGCCAATAATATTTGTCAACAATAAAAATACACCAGTGATCGATGGATATCAATGTATGATCACTTACCGTCCGATCTCCGATTGGACGTCGTAATGATCGTTGAATTCCACTCCACGGCGCACCGTCACATTTCGATAGGGGAAACTCGGCTCGATCTCTGTAAAACGCCATTTTTTCCAATTTTTTTACATCGAATAATTAACTAAAAAAAAATTTGAAGATTGTGATAAAGTGATAAATTGTCGACCTACTTAGATCGTGCTGCACTTTCATGGTACTATCACACTCATGCAAGATAATCTAGAAGGTTTACAATCAAATATATTCTACATATTGAATTTCTTTAAAGAAATTAATCTTCTCCAAAAATTATAGAATTCGACCAATAATCGAGTTGCTATATAATTATAACAGTAGTACTAGTGATCACAATAAATGATTGATGCGATCAGTTGAAAAATAAATTAAAATACTTCTGTGTTTCGTCGTATGTTTGTATTTAATTTACTTTATAAAGATGAAAGGTAATTTCTAATATTATAAAAAGTAATTTCATTTCATGATCTCTGTCAACATCGGTCGCACAACTAACAGTATCCACCTATTTAAAAGACTGAAGCAAATAGAAATACGTAATACACACACACATAAATTAAATTAATTTATTCAATTTAAATCTCCAACGAAGAGAAAATGTGAAATTAAAATTTAAAAGAGACATCATAAATAGAAATGTTCAAGTATTTAGCTGCATTTTAAAGCAGAAGCGCGTGGGAATCGATCCAATTAACGTATAGAAAATTACTTCCTCCCAGTGTTCAATTGAAAATGAACTGATTCGAGAACAAAACTATGATTGAAAAGTAAAAAAAACTTTATAAAGAGAGCCGAATCGTTGACACGTGAATTTCGTATATGAAAGATTTGTTGCTCGAATCGAAAGCTGATCGTGCTGAAACTTGACTCGAGTTCCGTTACCGGCAGCAAGTTCCGGTGACTGGCGCGTTCTTTTGCCACAAAGATTCGTCGAGAACGACGATGATTTAACACGGCGATATTCAAACTGAAAATCAAATGGCACGCTAATTGTCTGTTTTCTAATGATCCTATAAGGGAACCTGGCCAACTCATCAACTCATCAACTCTGACATACAGGAAATGGTGCGCAATATATCGAATTGTCTCGCGTATAAATTTAGCGATTTTTTATCTTAACCGTAGTCAGACGTTAATATTTGAGCTACCATATATGTACGATGTATATGACTTTACTAAACGATGGAAATTGAAATGTTTTAATCAATATCAATAAAAATTTTAACTCGAATTAGGCCAAAATGACGAATTAAAAGTCAGATTATTTTTTTCTTTTAATTAACTTACGACTTAAACGAATCTCCAATCGAAAAGCCAAGTTTGATCCACTTTATTTTTTCTAAATTTCTCGAGAAATTCAATTTCATGAATTTAATTACCACAAGGAAGTGCAAAGTGTAATATTGAAATAATATTTGTAATATCATTTCCTTTCTCTTTCCCTATTTTCCAATTTACAGAGTTGATCAATGTGGCTTCTGAATGACTGATCTGAGATATGCAAGTACTGCG